CCAACTCTCAGATGACGAACGACGGATTTCAGAAGAATTGAGAGCCTTGTCTTGACATATGAAGCGAGAACGGATATTGGACTGGAAGGCATTTCGGGAGAGAACCACCAATAAGATGTGGGAGCAGTGGAGGAACAGAACATCATATGATGTATTTCACCTGGCCCGACGTGCAGCAGGTAGCAAGTTTGGCACCAAGCGGCGCCCCTATCTTGCTGCGCAGGTCGCACCACCGACGGAGAAGGAATGGCTAGATCAGCTCTCACTCCCAGGATGTGAAGGAGGTATGAAGGCTACGCTCATCCCGCCCTGGATCAACTTTGCCCGAGCCCGAGTTGATGAAAATTTGTCTCCTGATTCGACCAATCCCCTCAATGAGCAACTGCAAAAAAACAAGTCTGATGTTTGCAAACTCGAAAGATGGGCTCTGCGAGCTCCCAAGAGAAAGGCTGTACCGAGCTGGGCCGCCCCTGTGGAGCTTTCAGCTATTCGTTTGGCCCCGCCCACGGTTGCCTCGTATAGAAATCGTGGTTTGGGGCCCCCAGAGCCCGAGCTAGATGCGCCAGTTGTTAGATCTCACTTGGAAGACGCCTGTCTCAGAATTAGGACCCGTCTGCGCACCCTTTTTTCTGGCACTCCAGCATGAAGGTCTCTTGGGCCAAACAAAACGATGGTACCACCTTTGGGGGAACGGCCTCGGGGCCTCATTCCTCCGCTCGGTAAGGGCTGGTACTCCACTCACTCCACGACCCCAGAGATGCCACCCCAGGTGCTTGTTTTTTTTTTACCCCACCGATGCAAGGAGAATGCCATAGCCAAGTCTGTAATCATGATGTGGCACATTCGCAGAGCGGGCCGACTAGGACTGTTGCACCTACACGATCTCACGAATGCGTTTGCGAGTGTGAAGTGGGCAAGCATGCGGGCCGCTGCAGTGGAGCTGATGGAGGACGGCCTTGCACGTCTAGGCTGCCAGCGTTTCGAGGAAACTGCAGTGACTCTGCAGTGCGAAGAGGGCCCCCGTTTTTTCAAACCAGCATGCGGAAGCATGATGGGAGACCCATATATCGTACGACACTGTGTCCATAGTTTCCAGACCGCTATCCAGGATTGGGGAACGCGTCTTGAGCTGGAGGGTTTGGTGTCGGGGGAGTTGGTCACCCAGCACCCATTCCTGGATAGGGCCGTGGATGTGTCACTCAGCCTTTATGCCGATGATAGCTTGAAGGTTCTGATCGGGGGGCCACACCAAGGGATCCAGGACCTTGCTCAGATGAGCGAACGAGCCAATGCCATCCTGGATCAGGCCCTGGCCGGAATCGGTTGCAAGCAGAATATGAGCAATCAAGAAATCATTCATGTTCGTTCGGGGCCTGGGTCGGGGACCTATGCGCGTGACCTCAGGATGCAAAAGGTCACCCTTTCCGCTCCACACTGTACCCACGCCAGATATTTAGGAGGACGAATGGGAGCTATTTGTAGCTATGACATTGAGTATGCGTACCACAAGAAGGCGGTGGCGGCGGCTTATTACTCCTTAGGAGCTTTTTGGTCTTAAAGCATACCCCGTGGAAGGTGAAGCGCACACTTCTAATATGGTGTGTACAAAAAAACCGCACTGCACTCCAATGAAGCCTATATCTGTCCCAGGCAACAGTATACTGAATTAGATCATGTAGTAACACGATATGATAGGAGAGTTATGAGAGGAGCTGCACATGAATTACGAGAAACAGACATTGGACAACAAAATCGCGCACTCAGCACAACACACGTACTGGAGCACTTGCGAATGGCACCCACGAGCTCGAGATGCGGGTGCGGCGCCTGGGGAAGTATCAGGCCATGATCGCCCACCATTGGAGGAATGGCCAGATTATCACCTCCATGGTCGGTCACTTCTCGTTTGAAGACGAACCGACACTGATTCAGGGAGATCAAAAATATGCAAATCCGTGGGCACTCCAATTTCGTGAGGATATACGTGAGGGAGCAGATGGGCGTGATGAGGAGGGCGATGGTTTAGAATGTGTATTCGTGCGGGGTGGTCGCAGGTGTTTACCGATAAGGGGGTGAAAGAAGAAATTGACAATCAAGACGTCACAGTACTACGGAAAGGAGTGTACATGTCAGCAGTACCGCCGCCAGAATGGCACCCATGCCAGTTGCCTACCCAAACAACTAATACTGCTACCACACACACAGGTGGAGGAGGATGGAAATGTGAGTTTGTCTTGGGTAATGTAATAATGTGCACAGCTTGCTTTGACACACATATAAGGCAGTCACACAACATAGGACGGCTAAACATGGACAGCGTGACGTGGGGAATAGAGTAGTTGCCACGAATGTGTGCCCTTTCTGCCTCGTCGTTTTCGGATGTGTGAAGACTGCGCAGCGACATCTTCTCTCGAGCGTGGCTAGAGGTGGACATTGTATTGGCCGCTCGAGATATATAAAAAGGCGACAACATCCTGATCGAGTCGACGGTCATCTCTGTGAATTTCGGGCCCCAACTTTTGAGCAGCTACAAGGGCACTTGCAGAGTCGCGTGCCACCATTCAAAGTATTATCAAGGCGGGTATCGGCACGGCCGCATTGATTACGCACTGTCCTTTGCCGTCGCCGCCCCTGCTCGGGGTCTGAGGAAATGTACCGAATCCAGCTCAGGCTCAGACGGACCAGCTCGCAAGGTGCAAATTCAAAAGTTGCTCGCCAAAGGAGAGCACGTGAGCACAATCAAGAAGCTGCTCATCGTCCTCACAAAACTCAGTTTGACGAACGCGGCCGGGATCAGGGAAATCACCAGCATGCTGTGGAATACGGTGCTCGTCGACGCAAAGTCGCACATCGCAGTCGAGATGATGGCCCAAGGGAAGTCCTACCACGAGGCAGCCAAGACGGCAAAAGGAGACCCTGCCGCTCAAGAACGCCTTGGGCCGCCGTACGTACACATCCTCGCAGGCCTCATGCTCGGCTTGTCGAAGACCCAGATCGAGCTCGAGCCGACCAACAAGCAGCGCCTGACAGATTCCTGGACGAAGGAGGTGGTGGCGGAGGGCAAGACACCAGTCGACCTGGTGGGCAGAGTGATGTACTGCAGGTGCAAGACAGCCAAAGTCAAGGATGGCAAACCAGGCCTGGCGAAGGTTACGATCGCGATGAGCACGGAGTTCGGCGCGGTGCAGGCGGCGATCATGGCGGCGCTGGTGCAGAGTGGCGGTGTCAAGAAGCACGGCCCAGCTCCCAGGTGCCCCCTTGAACGGGCATCACAAGGCATCCCCGAGGTGCTCGAGGGCACGTCGACAGGCGGCAAGCAGAAGCAGTAGGACACGCAGTTGCCGAGGCTGACGGCCATCCAGAGTGTGCAGATTGCACAGTTCTCCCATCGGCTCCTGCAGATTGTGGTGTAGAGCGAGGAGTCGTCACGCCGGAGGCCGCGCTCCGACACGCAGGGGTGGCAGCCAGCAGCTGGAGGTTGCAGCCGCCCGAGAGGCGGAAGAGAGGGAAGGGGAAAGGGGGGTGGGAGAGTGGCCGTGGTGGTTCGCAGGCCGCTGAGCCTTCTTCTGGGAACCAAGCTCACCCACCCCCCCCTGAACCCAAGTTTGAGTATTATCTTTGTTTAGGAGGTCTGAGGCTGGATGTAGGAAGCGAGCCATTTGAGCCCTGGATGGTGGGATTGGCCATTGTGTCCCCACTGTCCAGGGCGGGGTGGCTCGCCCCGCCCTTCGGCCTCAAGAATCTCTCGTGGTTGTGATGGTGCGGGGAGGCCCCTCAGCTCAGTCGGCAAATGAGGGTGCCTCAGACCGCCTGTGCAGTGCTCCTGTCTGCACAAGCGCCCCCCCAGAAGTTCCTTGACAGGTCCTCAGGGCAAAAACAGGTTTTAATCTGCATGTTACAAACTGGCGAATCCAGCCAGGAGGTGCCCAAGCATCTCAGACGAAAAGACGAACTTAGTGCCCCCAGAGCTCGATTCCGATTCCGATTCCTCCCCCTTACTCCCCCTCAACCTCCTGGACCTCCTCTTCTCACTCCTGCTCGTCCCCTTCCTCATACGCACCATCCTCATCCTCCTGGTGTTTTTCCTCCTCGTCGTTTTCCACATCCTCATACTCCTGATCATCCTCTACCTCCTCATCACACTCCTCCTTATATTTGTGTTCCTCCTCCCGCTCGCCGTGCTCCTCCCTGCATCCTTGCAGGCCTCGTAGTTTTCCTCGAGATCCTCGCCCTACTCCTCTTCGCAGTATTACTTCTCCAGGTGACGTCCCAGATCGCACTGGGTCGTCAAACGCCTTCGACCTCTCAAGCGGCGTAAAAACGCTGTCCAAGTGGCGTAAAAACGCTTTCAAGAAGTCTCCGAGCGGCTTGGCGGACCTGCAAAAGCGCCCCTGGAGGCCAAAATCCTCAGTTCACTGAAGTGCTTGTCTGACAAAGTTCTATCTGATTATGCTAGCGCCCACAGGTCCTCGAAACTGGTGGCCCATCATGGGCCCCCGGGCCCCCAATCGAGGCCCTGCGTGCAACAGTGCGCCAGACTGCTTCGGGCATTCTGCCGCGAGGGTATCTTTGCTGTTCCGCTGGGTGCCTGCAAAACTCGCGCTGCACGAAAAGGGCGACGGATGAGCGAGAGAGAGAAGGAGGAGGAGGAGGAGGAGGAGGAGGAGGAGGAGGAGGAGGAGGAGGAGGAGAAAAGGGGGGGCAGGAAGCCGAGGGCGACGAGGGCGATGAGGCCGAGGGAACAGGAGGCGAGGATCGGAGGCAACGATAAAGGGGGGCGAATAGCCCAGGGGAGAGCACTACGTGTATGTATCCAGGGGCGCCGGTGGTCCATGCCTTCGGCGAGGTTCCGAGGCGAATGCGTGCAATGCCCGCCCCAGGGCTGTTCGCCCTGATCGTCGCCCCCGAGAGGAGAACGAGGAGGAGAACGAGGAAGAGGAGGAGGAGGAGCAGGAGGAGGAGGAGGAGGAGGAGGCAGGGACACGAGCGCCCGGGCGCGCAGTGGCCCCCGCGTCCTGCACGGCCTGCCGCGTCCCGCAGAACCGCAGGCTCGAGCTGTCCCGGTACTCGCGGGCGGCGCGCGGGGCGGCGGCGGGCGCTCTCGGGGGCCCCCTCGTGGGGCGCCCGCGGGGGGGCGCCCCGGAGGGTGGCTCGCGGAGCACGGACCGAGGCAGGAGCGCGAGATCAGACGCTTGGGCGTGGTTCGTTGAGGGGCGATACAATGCGCGGTAAGGATGCAGGGGCCATGCCGAGGATCTCCGAGCGGGGCTGGCCATCGAAACTGGCCGAGGGTGGACCGAAGAGGCGATGATACAAGGGCACCCTTGAGAAGTCGAACATCGTTACTGTCGGGGTTGACTGCCTATATGGGGGGCGAAGAGAACCGTGCACCATTCGTGCCCCTGTTGGGCCCCAGAGGGCCCATTTGGGACCCCTGAGGTGCACGAAGCAAACGTAACTTGTCCCACCCTAAATCTATCGCCCTCCCTTTACGCAACGCCCGAAGAATGGGGAGATCCGGTGGGATTATCGTGGCCCCCGCCTTGACATCCACGACCCCATGTCATCGCCCCTTTTTGGACGCCCCCGAGGCGCGGCCGTAGCTTCCAGCTTGGCTCGGAGGAACGAATAAGCCAGCGGCTGCCCAGCGCCCGTGGCGCCCCCACGAGCTCCAAACCGTACGCATGTGTCTACGCCCTCGCGATCTGGATGCTGGGGTGCGATTCACAACGAAGCTCGACCACACAATTGAATCACCCAGGAATCGAACGCAACACAATACTTACCAAGATAAAATGATACTTCTGCTAAAATATTTCCGATACAATGAGCATGTGTCTAAACTGCACTGGGAAACTCCTTGCATGCATGGCATCAATCTGCATTCCGTGCGAGCATGAAGAGGAAACGCGATGCGCGCAGCGCCACGTATACAAATTAAACTTGTACAGCTACAAGGGGCGGCGACGGGGAGGTGCCAGGCGCGGGACCAGTGACGCAGCGACGCCTGGCGAGCCTCGCAGTAATGGTCTCCTCCACCAGCCGCGAACAAAGCCCAGATATCACCCAAGCACAGGCCGCGAGGCCCCCCAAAAAGGACGTGCACAATTAATGTTCCAAGATGGCGCCGAGACAGCCCAAAATGGCCATCACGATGGCCAATCTAGCCTCACACTCACAGCCTGGCCGCGACGGCGCAGATGGCCCAGCGGCCACAAGACGGCCTGAAAGTAAACCGCGGCGTTTCCCAATATTCACGTAGAAAGCATACACAAAACGTTCTCAATCTCGAGACACCGTTGTTGCAGCCGGTTTGGGATGCAAGTGTGGGGGGAGTGCATTGCACAACCATTGGTGAACAGGGCTGGACAGAAAGAAACCGCGCCTAGACGGCGCATCGGCAGTAATATCTAAGCGAGAACGAAAGCCAATACAACTGTGGAAACTTGAGTTGCGAACGCAAGCGCGCAGGAACGCAGCCACTGCATATGGACCAATGCTGGGCAGCGGACGGCGTTACACTCGCAGCGGAAACATGCACGAGAAAAGGGAAGGACGGTAGACGAGGGAAGGGGAAATGGGAGGGACGTCACCACCAAGCGCAGGAATCGTCAACAGCTTTGTGCCATTCGGCGAAAGAGCTGTTCAGAAGCTCCTGCAGACGGTCACGGCTTCTCCATGCTAGTTCGAAGGCCTGCGCGTACACGTCTGCTGCCCATTGCAGTCGGGGACGCCCTCGGGCGCGCGAGTTGTTGCATGGTCTTTGCGAATGGTCCATACATCTCTAATTAACGCTCCGATAGCAACATCGGTAACAGTTTGGCTCTGGCCGTTGCCATCACTTCAGCATTGCTTACGCGAGAATAATGTGCATGCAGGGTGTTGTACACTCGTCTAAGACACTTCGCCTGGAAACTGCCAAATTGAGTCGTCGGCCCTCAACGACTCGCAAGACTCCAATGCATTAGAGAAGACTTGGGCATATGCTTGCGTCAAAACAAGTCTCTTGCACTGCCTGCTCAAATCACCATTTCCCGACACAGTGTAGAATGTTCGGATGCCCCCGTTGTTCCCCCCAAGCAACACGTGAGGTGTGCTCTCGGGCTTCCGTTGACAAGTGATCATCCACCGGGATACACAGCTGGATATTTGCACGCGATCGTGTTCCCATCGGCCGCATTGGACACATCATGGCCAAACCCAAACGAGCCCCCAACATATATAAACAACCTATCACTGTCTGTGGAGAGCCCCCCAGACTGGAACCCACCAGAATTCTGTCAACCGCGTAAAACGGACCTTTTGTTGCAACATGTGATTTGTCTCCGTACTTCGTTGGGTCGCTGGCCAATCTAGTATCCACTGTTTCCTAAAGTGCATTCGTTTTATTGCAGGGGACATAGATGACGACAGCGGGAAACCTCGATCTCTGCCTGCCACTTGCGCTCTTGGGCGGGGTGCTGTAGCGGCCGCTTCTGACAACGGATTGCGGAACTCTGCAGATTGCGAGGATCAGAGGGTTAGCTCGGGCGTGTCCCCTACATAGGGGTTTTGGGCGAAAGCCAAAAAACAAATCCCAGTGCGACCCTGCCTAGGAATTGGAGCATTTAAGAAAGCAACATCTACATATAATTCGACAGCTACAGTTGCTGTGCTGCTGCTGCTGCTGTTGCTTTGCCTTTGATTTGCCTTTGCTATGCTATGCTGTGATATGTTATGCTATGCTGCGCTATGATATGCTATGCCATGCGTTGCTATGCTACGCTATGCTGCGCTGTGCTATGCTATGCTATGCTAGGGTACGCTCGGCGGCGCTGTGTAATGCTAGGCTATGCTATTATATGCTATGCTGCGCTATGCTATGCTATCCTATGAGATGCTGCTCTATGGTGTGATATGCTATGCTATGCTATGCTATCATGGGCTATACTATGCTATGCTATGCTATGATATGTCATGCGATGCTGCGCAAGGCGATGCTATGCTATGATATGATGTGCTATGATGGGCTATGCTATGCTACGCTATGTCATGCTATGCTGTACTATGCTATGATATGCTGCGCTGTGTTATGCTAAGCAATGTTATGATATGCCATGCTATACTATGCTGCGCTATGCTATGCTATGCTATGCCGAGCCATGCTATGCTATGCTTGGCTATGCTATGCTATGATGTGCTAATGCTGCGCTGCGCTATGTTGCGCTAAGCTAAGCTAAGGTAAGCTAAGCTATGCTAAGCTAAGCTAAGCTAAGTTAAGCTAGGCTAGGTTAAGCTAAGCTAATCTAAGCCAAGCCAAGCTCAGCTAAGCTAAGCTAAGCTACGATGAGATAAGCTAAGCTATGCTAAGCTAAGCTAGGCTAGGCTAGGCTAAGCTAAGCTAAGCTAAGCTAAGCTAAGCTTAGCTGAGCTAAGCTAAGCTAAGGTAAGCTAAGCTAGGGGAACCCAGGGGGCGCAACTGGGGGAACCGCGGGGCGGGGACTGGGGGAACCACCCAGGGCGCTTTGCACTGCCCGGCCCCTTTAAGCTAAGAGAGTAAGAACCCTCTAGGCAGAGCCTAGGTAGGGAATCAAAGAATACTCCAAAATGCTCATAAATACTTAAACAATCGTCCCCCGACTATTTTTGTACTATGTTTGAATATCCCTCCTGTATTGGGACAGGCCCGACTTAATCATAGGGAGGGTGGAACCAGACATTGGCGGAGCGCAGATATCGGCGCCTCCGGTGTGACCGTGTCAAACAATCTCGCCCAATCCGATAACAGAGCTACAAGTTTCACATGCTTGTCTTCCAGGGTTGGGTCGATGAGCCGACGAGCCGAAATGAGAGCGCCAGAAGTCCCACGTTTTGGTCGGAATCCAGATTGCGATTCCCTTGACGCACTGTCCACGCCTCCATGCTTCAAGTGGCGCAAAAGCATGCTCGCCACAACTGTGCACCAAACCTGGAATATGAAAATCGGCATGCAATTGCTCGGAAGTGACGTGTCTCCCACTTCGAATATAGTTACACTGTATGGTTCACGCCACTCTGTTGAGATATGTTGTTGGCGCCAACAATGTGTTACATGGATCCAGAATCATATCCGACACCACGTCGGCAGACCACAATGCGAGCCATAGATCTGGTGGCACGCCGTCTCTGCCAGCAGCTTTGGGGAGGGAAGGCGAGGCGCAGCGCGCCCAGGAGCGGGAGCGCAGCGGGACGCCGACGAGCGCCCCGGAGGACGGCTGAGACGAGGCCTCCTCCTCCTCCCTCCTCCTCCTCCCTCCTCCTCCTCCTCCTCCTCCTCCCTCCCCCTCCTCCTCCTCCTCCTCCTCCTCCTGCTCATCCTGCTCTTCCTCCTACTACTCCCCCGTTGTCTCCTCCTACTCCTCCCCCTTCCTCCTACTTCCCCTTCACCCACCTCCCCCCCTCCCCTCCTCGTCCTCCCCTTCCTCCGTCTTCTCTCCCTCCTCCCCCGCTTCGCTGGGGGACTGGCACAAGAGCGAAGACTGGGGATGGAATGATATTCCGACCCGCGAAAAGAATCCTGAGCCTGCCAAGACAAGCACAATTCAGCTCTCAGCCAGGCGCGCGGGACAAGGAGCTCTGAGCGAGAGCTGCGCAGTTGCTGCAGGCCACTCCTGTGCGAAGGTGTAAGAGAAAACCAAAGAGCAATCGTACCCGCCTAACAACACCGTGTGCACGTCAACGCACGCCGCCGCACCCCGCTTCCTCAACATCCCCACCTCATATTATCCATTATCTCCCCTTCTCTTCCTCCCTCCCTCCCTCCCTCCCTCCCTCCCTCCCTCCCCCATTTCATCTTTCCGTCCCATACCTACATCGCCCCTTCCCTGCCATCCTGCCTCACCTTCCCTGCATTCCCCGTTTCTCCGCCTCCCTCCCTCCTTTCCCTGCCTCTCTAAGCACAACACTCCCCCATCTTCCTCTACAGCCATCCCTCCCACTCTCATCAGCACATGACATCTGATAATCACCGTCGTCAAGCTTGGGAACAACATAAGGCTGATCAGAATTTTAACTAGAGTGCACATGGTATATACCGAGCGTCTGGCAT